AGGGACCAAGGACACAGCCTGCCCCTGCCCTTCATCTGGAGGTTGCCACATCTCCAGAGACATTTCCGTGGGGCCCTGTGACACCAGCAGGAGTGTCTTCACACCCCCAAAGTGGAAGCCACCATCGTCTTGCGACATGAGGGTCATGGCATTGCGTTAGAGCAACAGCTCCAGGGGCCAGAACCACCCTGGGTCAGCAAACGGGTGGCAAAGCCGTTAGTGGTCATGGTCTGAGGAGGCTGCTGGAGGTTCCCAGCAATGACTTCAGGGCTGAATGCGAACCCTCCCAACCCTCGTGAGCAAACGGGGAGGGAGTGGGCGGGAGGAGGAGGGGACCTTCCTTTTCTGAGTTCCTGGAAATAATTTCCTTGCCCAGAAATTTTAGTGACATTTTGGTATTTCTGATGAAAACCATGATGGGAAAGGTCATGTCCCCAAGTCTGGAGGGGAGTTTCAGCCAGGGCAGGCTGAATGCCCCAGCGCAGCCAGGCGGTGTGCGGGGCTCTGCTGTTTGCCCCCAGAGGGGTCAGGCCATGGACATCCCCCCTGAATGGTATAAGGGAGAGCTTTAGCCTGGTGTCTGCGTGGGTGCCATAACAAATATTTGGTTATTGACCCTACGCTGCCTGTTCTTCCCTCACCCGCTTTAACCTGTCTTCTTGTCCGACTCCTCATCGCATTTTGTTCTGTGTTTTGCCCCCAGAAAGTCCAAGGATTAAATGCACCAAATCCAGTTGTGTTCAAAGTCAACACTGTCCCCAAAGAAATCCCACATGAGTGACTGCCAGACCCAGGAAAGGGGAAGGGGAAATGGGGACAGTTGTTGGCCAAGTGTTGCATGTTGTTGGGCAAGCTGGTGACCATCTCTTTTTTTTTTTTTTTTTTTCTCCCCAGTTTGAGCAGTCCTCACTGCAGGCGGTTCACCAGCAGAGACGGGAGCTGTTGAGCAACATCTGCAACCGTTACACCCGCAAGCGGCGTCTCCTGCGGCCGGATGACTTGCGGCACTTGGTGGTGGATGACACCCATGGGCTGCTCTACTGCTACGTGCCCAAAGTGGCCTGCACGAACTGGAAGCGGGTGATGATGGTCCTGACGGGACAAGGCAAGTACCGGGACCCACTGGAAATCCCCGCCAACGAGGCCCATGTCTCGTCCAACCTGCGCACCCTCTCCGAGTACAGCATCCCCGAGATCAACCACCGCCTGCGCAGCTACCTCAAGTTCATCTTCGTGCGGGAGCCCTTCGAGCGCCTGGTCTCAGCCTATCGCAACAAGTTCACCCGCAGCTACAACACGGCCTTCCACAAGCGCTACGGGACCAAGATCATCCGGCGGCACCGGCAGGAGCCCAGCGACAAGGCCCTGGAGCGCGGGGATGACGTGCGCTTCGAGGAGTTCGTCTACTACCTGCTGGACCCACGGACGCAGCGGGAGGAGCCCTTCAACGAGCACTGGGAGCGGGTGCACTCGCTCTGCCACCCCTGCATCGTCCACTACGACGTGGTGGGCAAGTACGAGACCTTGACCGAAGACGCCAACTACATCCTCCAGCTGGTTGGGGCCGACACGAGCGTCAAGTTCCCATCTTCATCCAAGACCACCAGGACAACAGATGACATGACGGCCCAGTTCTTCCAAGACATTAGCCCTTTCTACCAAAGGAGACTCTTTAATTTATACAAAATGGACTACTTGCTCTTCAATTACTCCATTCCCTCGTACCTCCGCATCCGATGAGGCAGGGGCTGGGGGGAGAGGCGAGGGAGAGCTGGGTAACTCTCATTTTGCCACAGTTCCTCTCCTCCCACCCTGTGCTCATCTCTTGGTTGACTTCTCCTGTGCCCTCTCCGTTGTGGTCTGCTGCACATCCCGATGCCTCGTTCATGCGTGGTCTGGAGGGGGGACACCTCTCAAAACACGGGGGATGGAGCTTTTCCTTCCCTTTCCCTCCCTTCAACATCAGCAGGGGATGGTGGCGGGACTGGACACTGTTGGGTAGGAGGGCTTGCCTTGGCTGGAGACTTTCTTTCAACTATGTGACTCCTCTGTAGATCCAAGTCGTAGAAAGGCTCCTTTTGCAGGCAGGATCCCTTCGGGTCTTTCTCCTCCTTACTGGGCTGTTTGGGGACGGACATGGCATCCCTGGGGGGGCAGGGTGGAGCACCTCAGAGACTTGCATAGAACCAGAAATAAAGCAATAATTTAATGTAAGTTTTTTCCTTTTGTTTAAAATTGCTCCTGCCTTTTCTTTTCACCTCGTTCTCCTCCCCCAGCTTCCCGCGCCGCCCCCCGGTTGCTGGGGAAGGCGATGGTGTGTTGCTGTGACCATGCATTTCTCCCTGACAAAGCCAGGAGGGCTGTTCTGCTGCTCTCCTTCCACGTGCTCTCGGCTGGGATGCAAAATACTCCGAAGGGAGGGAGAGGAGCGGGTTTGCAGCAGGTATGGGCTGATAGAGACACAGTGCTTTCTCCTGAACTGCACTAGCAGCGCACTCGGTGCCTCTGGGTTTGCGTGTCTCTGGATTTCTGGTCAAATCCCATAAATCCAGACCCCGCAGTTCTTGTTTTTGAAGAGCAGGTGATAAATGTTTTGCACGGCCATATGTACAGCCTGGGTGCAGGTGTCTGCTCAGATGAAACCACATCCTCCACGGTGTCCTGCCCACGGCCCCACTGGGCTGGCAGGACCCAGCTGCCAGTGTTGGCTTCTTGTCCCCTGCCACCATGTGCTGCTTCCCCGTGCAGCCGGTGCCTCCCACCTGGGGTGGCCGCGTTGCACCAGGGGATGGAGAAAGGTGCTGGGGAGGTTTGAGTGATGAAGACGTGCTTCAGGGAGCACTGTGCTGGGATGTGGGACAGTGCTGTGGTCATGAAAAAGTGATGCTGGAGGAAGGCTGGAGAAGAAGAGTGTCTGTAGGTGTGTGTATGCATGTGTGCGTATGAGAAAAAACTGAGAATAAAAATGGGGACAGAGACACCTAGAGGAAAATTCCCCTTTGCCTGGCTGGCTTTGGACAATTCATTCCTTGAAGAAGAAATGAGGGGGTGAAACACAAAAGAAAATTACAAACCCAGTCCTAGGATTTTAAATTAAAACCAGTCCAAGGAGCTGTGCTTCTTTAAAACCATATTTCAGTCTTTCCTCTTTTCTGCTTGGCTTTGGCTGGGTGGCTGCCTTTGTAAATAAACACGCGGGTAATGGATGCTGTAGAGTGTGTCTGCTGGCTCGGCTGCCAACACTTGACTTATTAGTGCAATACAACGGGAGGTTTTATAAAACCCCAGTGCTCTCAGGCTCTTTTAAAAAATAATGTTTTAATCTAACAACTTTCGGCTGTTATATCTTAACCTTCTTCCTCTCCACCTCTGATCAGCACCTATGCGCTGACACTCCCTCCTTGGTTGCTCTGTTTGGAGACTGGGTTTAGCAAAGCAACGAAAAAAGAAAAGTAAATAAAATTGCTGGTGGTCCTTGAAGTCTGATTGATTCTCCCAATCTGGACTGGGGATCTTGCAGACATGGCCTTTCTCATGCTTAGTATCTCCCCGGCTAGCTGAAACTCAAAGCACAAAAGCAGATTGTATGATGCAACAAATGTCATCTGCAGCGTTCAGGCTTGGAGTGCATTCCTCCTGCTTTCTCAGGAGTCTTGTGTTCCCTGCCTAGAGCTGCCTCTGCTTGGAAAAAATCATTGTTCAAGTCGCCACAAGCTCTTTTCATTGCTTTTGGTCATGAATCATAATTTGGGGTCAGATTCAGAGTCACAAAGGGATGGATTTTTGGATGGAATTTTTTTTTTTCTTTTCCTAAATACTGTTCCCTTCCTAACAGCTGAAGGCACAGTGAGTGGCAAGGACAGACACACAGACTCTCTCCCCACTGTGCTGTCTGGGGGGGGGGGTGGTAGGCAATATCTGGCTGGTCAGGAGCCCCTTTGGGTTCTCTTTGGAGTGAAAGCCAGGGAACAGCATGCTTTGGGATTTGTCTTTTAGCCAGCTGCTCTTTAAACTTTCCTGCAATTATGGCAATTTGGAGACCGTCCCGGTTGGCATGGCTCTTTGCCGGCAGTCTGTCCCCCCCACATCCCCATCAGCACTGACCCATGGTTCCAAAAAGCAGCAAAGCCACACAAGTGTGGGGCAAATGCAGCCCCCCCAGCCATGGTCTGCTAAGGGTAATATTCTGCTGAGATTTCGTCTGTAACTGGGTGTCTTTGGGGTCATTTAGGACCTTTGGAAATACCCACCTTTGGGCTTTTTCTAAAAAAAATCCAACCAACAGCCACAATCCGACCCATTGAGCTCATACCCTTGGCTTTCTCCCTGTCCAAACAGCGATTCCGAAGCAAAACCTGCCCATGCACACAGCAAACGGGAAACGCTGCCGGAGCGGAGCAGAACGGAGCTACGAGGACACCGTGCGACTGGTGATCCCAACTGCAAACGTCTGAATTTCCTCTGCGGCTTCGGGGGCTGGGAACCGTTTCTCTGAGGGGCTTCTAGCTGGGTTAGGGGTTGGTTGGGGTTTTCTTTTTTGTTTTGGTTTGGTTTGGTTTTTTTAACTGTTTCACTACATCCCTTTTTTTCTTGCCAGAGGAGAAAATATGAAGGCAATCTAGGCCACCTCTAAAGTGTAACAGGATTTCTTTTTCTCTGTACTTCAGACTGGGAATGTGGCATCGCCTGATGTGGAACAAGGGCTTGGAAAGCAAGGAGATTCCCGGGGACCGCCCCCCGGGAGAACAGAGCAGGGCGTCATCCCCCAGCCCTGCCCAACCACCCTGCTCTGAGTGGGGTTGTTTCTGGGAGGAAGATGCTGGTACGGTGATGAAGGGCATGAATGCACCGCCGGGATCCCAAGCGGGATTAAAGCACAGCCCTGCCTTTTAGTGGCAAAGGGGCTTTGGTGCAGCTGCCTGCGGGGCCGCATACCGTGTCCTGCGCTGGGCTTTGGCCAAGGTTTGATAACAAACAGAGGCGAAGACTCCTCTTGAGCAGCCCTGTGACCAACAACGACAGGACCAACCACCCCACCAGGATGGAGCACAGCTGCTGTCACCTGGAGAAAGAGCAAAGGGATAACCCTGAGGGACATTTCTATCTGTGCACGGACTTATTTTGCCCTTAAATACAAGCCTTACTCAGTGGAACAAAACTGAGCTTCACTGACAGGGAGGTTTCCTTCCAGAGCTTGCTGTGCACCACGGATTGGGTTGTTTACGAGACGGAGGATTAAATAGACTTGCACTGAAGGGAAAAAAAAATATGTGTGTTCAAGTATGTCTTGGAAGTGGTGTCTCGCTTGAAGGAGGCTTTTCAGACTTGCTTGTGTTTGCTGGCTGGAACGTCACTTGTCCACAGTAAGGGTGCTGCAACTCACACGAAGCAGAGTTTCTGGAAAAATACTGTGTTAGGGTGGAGGCAGTGAATGGAAGGTGGAGGGGGGGTGAAAAATAAATGCTTTGACTAGCCCTGAAAACAACCCCCTGCTCCAGTCTCTCTACGGCTGGTGCCAGCCCCTTCTTTGCTTGCAAAGGGAAACCCTTCAGCACCTGGGGGTGGGGGGACCCCTGACCGACCTTCCTCCCCGCTGCAGCTGTGATCTACCCGAGGTCCCCAGCACCCTAACACATCAGCCTCGCGGTGGTGCAGGGCAAGCACCCGTCCCCTCCCAAACTCCAGCACTCGTCCTCAGCCCCATCCCACAACACTGACATGAACCTGGGGTTTGGTTCACTGGGGGACAGCTTGTGGCCCATCTCAGGAGTGAGCCTAAGCTGCACCGCTAATACGGTGTGAAGCGAAAACAGGGGAGATAGAAAAACCCAAATTTTACCTTTTTTTCACTGCCTCCTACTACAGCCTGAATGAGCCGGCTGCTGGCTGCACGGGGCTTGGACAAGCCAGCACAAAGCAGGGGGGTTTTGGGCATTTCTGCTTTATTAAAAACCAGCCAGTCTCATTCTTCTGCTGCCACTCCCCACTTGCCTTTATTTCCCCTGAGATTCACACAAGGCCAGCCTTCGATGGGGATCTCACAGCACTCAGTGCGTTTCTCAGCCCAGGGCAAGTGCTGGCCCAAATGGGCAAGTCAGTGGCCACGGGCTACGGAGCAGCAAGAACGGAGCTCTCTACTCCCACCTCTTCAAGGATGTTGGTTATTTGGGAGCTGTGAGGACTAAATAGAACTCACTCTCGGCTCAAAAGGAGGTGCTGGTGACTGTGGTGGGGTGGTGACAACCCGGTGAAAAGCTGGGCACAGGAATGACAAGGACACGGCAGCGGAGAAGCCAGTGCCCCTGCTGGCAGCAACCTTCCTGCTGGGTTAGATGAAGGACAGAAATAATGTCCACAGCCTGTCTGAGCTCTGCTACCCACACAGGTTTGCTCTGAAGCCACGCGAATTTTGTAAAGGCAAAGGGAGGAAGGAACCCCCTCCCCAAATCTCCACCCCAACAAAATCACTCCAAGACCCCAGGGAGCAGAAAACCAGGTAGGACCTGGTGTGATGTACTGAGAGCTCTTAAAAGCTGAGGATCCTGCAGGCACTCAAGCACCAAATCTCTGCTTTTAAGATGAGGGGAGGGGGACGATGTGCTCGGTGCCACCGAGGCAGCTGGTGTGCGGGGAGGGAGCCGTGCTGCCCGCAGAGCGCTCCCGCTCGCTGGGAGGGCTGGGGGTGCTTTCTTGGAGGAGCAGGTTCAGATGGAGTTACAGGAACCCTAATCCAAACTGTGCCCCAGGGTTATGTATAACCGTTGTTAGCAAAGACCCTTTCTTATTTGCACAAAGAAAGAAAAGGAGGGAAGAGTAAACAGGCTGCACAGCCAAATAACTAGCCTTTTGCTGCCCTCAAAAAAAAAATCCTCTTTTATTGAAACCATTTCCTTTGGTTATATCATTTCTCTTGAAGCTGGAAGCAATTTTCAGTCTTAAGTGCATTCCCTGCACTAAGTGCACGGGCATGAGGCTGCTGCTTGGCTGCCCACCAAGGGGTACCCTGGAGAGCAGCACGTCCCTTTGTCATCTCCCCACATCAGCTCATGGTCCCAGCACCTCCTGCAAGGGGGGAGCGCCCATGGCCAGCGTGGGCAAGGTGCAGCACAGGCCACCCCCACCCAGCGGGGTCCCACAAGTAGGACACAGATGGCATCCATTACATGTTCCCATCCGTGTCCTCTGTCAACAGTGACAGCCAGAACAAACCCAGCTCTGCCCAGAATCCCCTGACAAAGGGCCGCAGCAGTGCCAGGGCTCTGTTGCAATCACGTGGCAGAGAAGCAGACGTGTTGGGAACTGGGAATTGATCCTGGAGGAGGGGGACTGGGGTCCCTTGTAGACTGCACCAGCCACAGGCTCCAGTCTGGGGCTTTTGGGGGGATTAGAGAGAGCAGGGGCAAATCTGTGCTATTAGGAGTTTCAGTCTGGGACCCTGCAGAGGGGTCAGGTGCCCTCAGCAGCTTGGCGTTAGGACCAGCCTTGCCTTAGGACCAGCCTTACCTGGTTCACACCAGTAGCAAAAGCATCAAGGTCAGAGAGGATATCTCCAAGGCAGCAAGGAGGAGAAAAGTGTTGAGACAGGAGGAGTTATTTGCCAGGACTGCTCAAGACAGTGCCAAATAGGAGCTAATAAAGGTTTACAAAATAAAATGCTAGGCTCAAATTATTAGAATATATATACATACGTATCTCCTAACGCAGCACCCTCAAACCGGGACCAGCAATCAGATGCTCGCTGTTGCTTTGCCTTCCCTGCAAGCCCCCTCAGCTGCTGCTGCTGCCATTATCACACGTGGGTGCTGGGGGTTGACGGCGGCGCAGCCCAGCAGAGCCCACAGCACACAGGCTGCAGCGAGAGATAACGCAGCAAGGCACACGGTGGGGAGAGCATGTCCCTCCGATGCTGAAATGTCCCCCACCACGAAGCTGGTGTGTGCATGCTCTCCAGCTCAGCCAGCGTGGGGTAATTCATCCCTTGTAACAAAGGAGGATGAGGCTTGGAGAGTGGGGAGGTCACAGCTTATATATTTTTTTTCAGGGAGCGCTTTTCCCCATGCCTGGCAGCCCAGAGCGGAACAGCTTTTGCTGCTGGGGATCTTCAGCCACGTGTCAGTCCAGTGCAGGGGTCTCAGCTCTGCAGCAGCTCCGGGAGATTGGAGCAGCACTGGAGCAAAAGAAACACCCAAGGCCGGCAGGCATCCAGCACGGCTCAAAAGTAAGTGTTTAAGAGCTGGTGCATCCTTGAACAAGGCATCTGTCTGCCAGCAGGCGGGGAGATTGACCTCTCCCTTCCCCTCCTCCAGCACCTACAAAGGCAGATTATTATTAAAGTTGAGGCCCAGTGGCATTTTTCAAAGGTTTGATCCACACCCTCAACTCCTGACTCTTGGGCATCTTATTATCTGGCCCCACAAGCCTCACCTGACGTGTTCCTGGTAGCACAAGACAGCCACCCTCCTCATGCCAAATCCTCACCCAGCCCAACACCGTCCTTATGCACACACGCAGATTGTAGACTCATCGCAGAGCAATTGTTAATGAGTGTATGGCAACGGTGGGAGAGGGAATGAGCTTTAATTCCAACCCGAAACACATGGGCTGCAAAAGGCTGCTCCTGGTTACGACAGTGATTTTCCTGAAGCCCTGTTAAAATTGTGTTGTCCAGCCCTGGATGCATGAGAAAGAAGAGAGCAAGACTTCTGCCTGACAGGTCTGAACTAGGAACAGGCAGAGCCATGGCAAGAAAAAAACAACCCCCAAATCCATAGCATTACCTTTTTTGTTTTTAATCATTTTATTTGTGTGTGTGTGTGTGTGTTTCTATAAACATCCGAACCACTGGACATTTCATAAACCATAAAAACAAACCTTCCTACCCCCAAACCGCGCTCAATCCAGCTTGTCGGTCAGACAGCAGCAAGGCTGCCAGCGCAGGTAGGAGGTATCCCCGGATAACCTCCCGCTGGGCGCGAGCCAGCCAGCTCACTGCCTCAGATCCCGAGTGTCTGAGCGATGGAGAGGAGACGAGTTTAAAGCCTTGGTTGCTCTCCCCCTCCAGGGTTGCGATGGGAGAGAAAAGGTGAATAAAGAATTTCCCTCAATGGAACGTCAGTGCCCAACGGAGATATCCCGACATCCACTTGCAGGGTTGGATGCAGCGATCTCTGCAGGCTTCCCGGGCTTTTCCAGTGCTCGGGACTGAAACCCAGCCGTTACAAATAGCCCAAAATGCTCCTTAATGCCTCGTCTGCCAGGCGCAGGTGTGAGCAGCAAGCGCTGCTTATAACCGGCTTGTTCAAGGGCGCGAGTTTGGGGGTGCTGATTCCTCGGGGTGGGCGAGCCCAGCTGTAAGGCACGACGGGGAGGAGAGATGGGGCATCGGGGGCAGCAGGGGGGCCCCAATCCAGCCGGGTGACCCAGCGCCCATTGCCAGGTACCCCGTTGTCCCCGAGGAAAGCACCGTGTAGCACAAGCGATGCGGAGCAGCACGTGGTCTCTCAGTTCCCCAGGTTCATGTCTGCACCGTGGATGAGCCAAACCAGGCGGAAGCAGACAGCCAGGAATCCGGTGCCCAGGAGATCCCCCAGGGCAGTGAGGTAGGGGATGGAGAAATTATCCGGATCCAGCGCCTTCCTCCACATCAGGCGCACGATGAGGTCAGCGACGTAGAGCAGGATTCCCACCTGAGGAGAGGCAGGACAGGTCCTGGTGAGGCAGCGGGAAGGTCATGCACAGCCTCCCTCGGCTCGCAGACAAAATAACGCGGCCGCAGCCAAGGTACCAGAGCTAGCGGGGATCCGGAGAGTGAACGCCTTCCCCAGCGCTGCCCTTGGGCACAGCATTGCCTGGAGCCTCTCCACACCAAAAGCATCTCTCAAAGGCAGGGTTCCCACTTCCCACACCGTGACCGGGAACGCTCCCATTCCCTCCAGCAGCAACAGGGCTGCTGCAGCCCCAAAGGGTAAGATTGTAGCCAGATATTTTTCTCCTCATCTTTCTTTTTCTCCATTAGAAATTCAGATTGTGTCTGCTTTGTTTTGCCTAAAAGTCTCAGTGGGCAACTGAAGTTTGAGGCAGTTTTTACATCAAAGTTATCCCAAGCAGCACTGACATGTTAAAAAAAAGAAAAACTTTTTTTTTTTTTTCATCTCAACAGTTTTAAAATCTTTGTTGTGACTCCTTTTAATTCCTATTTCATTCCCGATTCTGATAAACAGATGGAGGAAAAAAATACTTCAGTTACAGATTAAAGACTGGCTAGTTAATTGAATTAAGAAGGGAGAGAGAGTTTGCACCCCACATCTGTGGTCCCTCCATGGGAGACCGCAGCCCAACAGGAACCAAAGACAGAGGCGGCATTTCTAAAGGTGAAAACTGCAAACTGGCGGGACAGGGAGGAGGAGGGATGAGGGAAGTGAATTAATTAACAGAATCACAGAAACTAAAGCAGTATGGAAACTCAAGAGTTTTATATAGAGCATTTCTCTGCCTCAACATAAGATCAAATCTGCCCTCACCTTTCCTGATGGTCCTCGGTTTAACCTACGCTAAACAACCCTCCAAGATGGAGATGCCACACTTTAAGCAATTAGTCCCACGGCCTTTTTTTCTGTTCTTGTTTTTTACCAAGGTCTAACATAAATCTGCCTTTTTTTTCATTTGAAGCCCATGATTTCATGTTTCATCCCTAGTGACTACAGAAAAAAAAAGTTATGCTGTCCCTCCCTACAGACACTTGGTAGTTTAAAGCCTGTTAACCAGAGTTTTCTCAAGCCTCCCTTCTTTGGACGAGCTAACCCCCATCCATTCAATCGCTCCTCTGAGGTCATGTTCTCTAGGCCTCTGATCTTTCTCTTTGGGCTTCCTCCAGCTGACCCAAACTTCCCCCTCTCGTTCTTTCTGTCATTCTTTATAAAGTATAATGGAGGGGAAGAAAGAACCAAGCGAAGTGTATTCTCCTCTGCTGGCCTCCATGGGAATCTTCTGGGGGCAGCGGCGTTGCTGGGATCCTGCTCTTAACGCTGTCATTTATTCTGCGTATTTTCATGCTTGGCTCTGGTTGAGGAGTTACCCCGATGCATAAAGAGAAGAATCAATATTTTCTTTTACAGCTGAGGCTGTGCTGCTGGGCTTAGGGTTGTGCAAAGTTCAAGAAAACCCAATTGTTTGCACATGCAAGGAAATCACCCCCAGACACGAGGCCACTTGTAAGGCAAAGCGAGAAGTCAGCTATCCCAACCTGCACATTAATGAATCACGGGTTTAAAAGGGCAAGTGAAGTCAGAGCCTCAGTGAGTTTAAGCAACAGCCACATGCATTTCCGAGTGAGGTGACAAAGTTCACAGGGCAGGCAGAACAGCGGAAGGGAACAGAGAACAAATTGGATGAACTTGCCCATTGCCTACCTGGAACTTTTACTTCCGAAGATGAACTTCTCAGTCCTGGGTTCTCCCAGGCTTTTGACCCATATAGCCCTGCCCAGAGGGATCCCCAGGTCTTCACCATGGTATGTGAAACAGATTTTCCAAAGGAGTGGGGAAACCTGTTGGCCTTTCACCTGCCTGTTACTGCCATAACCAGTGGCAGTCTAGAAATACTCGGGGCTTAGAGACTCCAGGAGTGAACACAGTAAAACAAGGTGTCACCCACAGCCAGAGGTCCCTCCTTGCCAAGTGTGTGTCTGCACGCTTCCTGCAGCTCAGCAGATGATGATAACCTGTTCCTCATCTCATCTGACTCCTTGCTCACCCTTAAGGGCAGTCATGCTCACGTGGGACACCAGACCCTGGCAATTTGGGTGAAGTATTGGTGGACCCACAGAAGATACATGATGCTTTGTAGGAAGCACACCTGAAATTACTGGAAATGTGGGCTGCTGCTGGAAGTTTTACCGTGGATGCTGTTTAACCTGGAGACTGTTTTGTTTTCACAGTATCTGAGAGGTTCCTTTTGGATGAGAGGTTGGGGTTTACCTGCAGCAAAGCAGCAGTCAGATAGAACATCACAAAGGTGAAGGACAGAGACGTGTGGCCTCCCTGCAGCAGATGGATGGTGTAGAGGAACACAAGGTGCCCTGGGATAACCAGGAGGAACAGGACTCGGGCTGACTTGGAATTCACCTCTGCGGAAGACAGAGAAACAGGGATGACAGCGGCTGTAGACTGTGGGGGGAGACCAGGACAGCTGCATATTTTAACGCTGGTACACAGACATGGGGCTGTCCCCTCCCACCAACCACATTGCTAACGCCTTTTCTAGATCATGCAGCAATCTGGAGCATCTGCAGTGCCAGCCCAGCAGCTTTGTCTAGCACAGATACTATGTGCCAAAGACGTGCTCCACGCCTCTTCTTCCAAACACTCCTCTCAGCTGCTCTCTGCCTCCCACTGCTTCTGCTCTGCCTTGCTGCAAGCACTTCCCCACTTTTCAGTTTGCTCCAGCAGTAACTCCCAACCTAGCATGGAAAATCAAGGGGAATCTGCAATCTAAAAAGACAGTTTTGCTGATGCTTAGGTTTACCCATGGCTGAAGATGGAGGAATTGCTGGTTTTCAGCAAGGTTATGCTCTATTCACCCTCTGGAGCAAGTGATAGCTCTAGGCTAGCCATGGTTAAAATAACTTTCTATTGGATCAAATCTGAGATTCTTTTTCAATTACTTTTCTTTAGTGTTCCCTGAAGGCCAGTTTCTTTGCATGTCAGTAAGCAAGTATACCACAAGATTTTTTTTTTTTCTTTTCCAGATGCCCACTGCAAAGATGCTTCCCCTCCAATCTGAGTATCTTCCCTGGAAGGGGGAAAGGGAGTTCTGCCTTTGAAACCCACCTAGTCCTTTGTGAACCAGGCTTGATAAAGGAGCTATCTGTGATGACATGCCTTGGGACACGGACACCTAGGGTTCAAGGTCTACCTGATGAGAAGAATGTGGTGCATGGGTTGGGCCAATTCTGCCTCATCTTGTATGGCAAAACTCCAGGCATGCTCCAGAAGTGCAGGAATGTGGAAATACGGCTGGCCTGGATGGCGACCAGATTCCCTCCAACACCTATGAGGACAAAACACAGTAAACCTGTAAACCACCTTCACTGCAGCAGGAAACATCGGTCTAAAACCCAGCCCAAGGTGAGCTGATCCGCATTCACTTACAAGCTCACTGAGAGCAGCAATTAAGAGAAAAACCTGATCCCACATCTCATGGTGATGCTGCGCTATTCACTTGGCAGGAGCAACTCTTAAAAATCAGGAAGGCTCCAGTGATGGTCTCCTTCTGACTGCTTTATTGGAAACATTTTCCCTCTCTTCTCAGGACCGGCTGTAAATGCCACGTGGGCTCTGAAGATGATGTATTTGCACCTGGTTTAACGCAGCCTGTGAGCAACACCTGGGGAAGGCAGCGCAGGCAATGGCAGATGCTGCTCACAGCCACTTCTTGGATCTCCTCACCCAGAGAGCCATTATTGTTTAAAAGACAACAAACATCACAGAAAGTGATTATATGTCTGTCTGAAGGCATCTTAACACAGTCGTTAAGTGAGAAGGAATCATATGAGAATGAATCAGAGCCCAAATATGTTAAGTAATTAAAAGGCAATTAATTTCTTCCAGACTGATTAATTTTAGAAAACATGAAAAAGCAGCTACATTTTCCAGCAGAAAATAGAGGGATGATGCTCTATGGAGCAAACTTCCACTACCTTGAGTATTTGCAGGGTAGAAATGCCACAGAAAATATAACCGTGAGCCAGATCCTACAGGCTTCTCCTGTTTTCCCCTCCTCGATGAAGGAAAAGCTCCATCACTAAATGTGAGATTTGCCAGAGCGGGATTAAGGTGAAAATACGAAGATGAGCTCAACAGAGCTCAAGATGGGAGCTTTCCGAATCCTGCACTGCCACTCTTTGCAGGACTCTCCTACCCATGCAAAGACACAGAGCACTTCGTAACTCTGCCACCAGCTCTGCCAAGCAGGCTGTACACCCCCACAGAGCAGTCTGGGTCCATCACTGTTCAGCTCAACTGCTGTTGAGTGCTTTCCCAACCAGGCTCTTTGGCTACCCGTGCTGGAAAGAGTTTGTCAGCAAGGTGGCTGTCTTCATGCAGATCCAGTGAGGTGACAGCTGGGTGACACCCTCTGACACTGCAAGAGGACACCATGGTTTGAGGGTGGCATGAGGCTAAGCGTGCCCTAGGAATGGGGGTTTCCCCTGGAATGGGCCTGTCCTGCAAGAACATTACAATAGCAGAAAAATAACCCCGTGGGTCCGCAGCGATGCCAGGATCTCCAGCAGTTTGTACTGGTATGTGTGTGTGTATAACAGCGCTGTGAGGCTTCAAACAAATATAAATATACCCATGAAAGGTGTTGACATATATATATCAAAAAATCCCTATATATAACCTCTCTATAGAATCTTTTATATATATATATATACACACACATGCATATATATAAACTTACTATATTAACCTTTATCAACAATCTGCAGAGGGGATGATTGCACAGCTCAAATTGCTGAGTGCAGAGAGACAGGGAAAATGGATTTATTGTGACATCCTTAGTCGGTTTGATGTTGTGAAAGTAAAGGTGTCGACGTAGCTCTCAGAGGCAACTATCAGATGCTGTTAACCTTTCCCACAGCTCTGACAGTATTTTGCAGCCCTGCCTGCTATTTTGCTCCAGAGATGCTTCAAGGTATGAGTAAACAGGGATGTGATGGGGACGAGTAGCTTCACTTCCACTCGTGATGGGAGGAAGGACTTGAACACTGACTTTTACACAGAGACGACAGTGGATACCATAACCCTTGGGGAGGAGGGGGAGGTATAGATAAAAGCATGCATATAAACCCCCCTGCCCAACCTACCATTAATCACAGGTGTGAAAACTGCCATGCCTTCAAAGTTTGGGTCAGTTACAGTTTTGTCCAAGATGAGCCCACCAATGCTGTTAAAAAAGGACAGGCAATGAGGAGGGATCAACCTCTCTTCCCAGGGCAATTCCTACGCTGTGAAAACAGCACACTGAAATGAGTTACTGCTTCCTCCCCATTGCCAGGGCTGGACTATTCCCCATTTACTCCTTTTACAGCTCAGTTTTCACCAGTAGATAGCCTTACAGTTTTTGTTAATGGCATAATGAGATCAGGAAGACCTCCTTGCCCACCCTTGAGCAAAACCCTTGATAGCAGTCAGGGAAGCCTTATCATCCTCCCCAAAAGTTTTGCTACGCTTCTATACTGGTCTTAGCAGGTTTATTTTGAACACTCTCCCAGATCCCAGCTGGGTCTGAAAGATGCAGCACAGAGGGGATGAACTATCTGGCTCTACGTTCACCAGTCTCCTGTCTTTACAGCCGGATAAAAATGAGGCTGAAATCTGGCTGCTTGAGATGGCTCTCATCTCCCTTTTCAGTCTCCTGGCTTGCACCCACATGGTGCATGCATGTGCAAGTGAGACTTAAAATGATGGTTTGCTTTTTCCAGTCATTTTGGGACTCCTTATCCACTATGCCAGAGCCTGTTGGAGGGCCACCAGCGGCTGAGAAGCACTGGACAGATACCCTTCTGCTGTCCCTTCCAGTTTCACTTCTGATGGCTTTCTAAATGAGCATGGGGCCTCTCTGCAGTGATCCCACACCTGTGGGCTCAGCAGCAGGTCCTCGGTTTACCTGCTGATGCTCATCGCAACGATGACTGGCTGCCATCCGGATTTCAGGACTTCGGCAAGGGAAGGACTTTGCTTGGCGATAGCAACCCAGAGAGGGATCATGACAATGAAGACAGCACAGATCAGAGGAGAAAGGTATTTCACATCTGGCAAGGAAAAGAAATTTTGAATTAAATGCCCCTGGCTGCACAGGTTGCCAAGATCACATTGTAGAAAATCTGGAAGAAAAGCAGCAGGGCTCTCGCTCAGATTGAGTTACATTAGCAGAAAAATCACATGAACCAAGATATTCCCCACGCAGTCACCTCGCTCCACAACACAAATCCATAATTAACCCCTGAAACTCACTGCTAGAGGATGTTATTTGAAAATCAGCAGGATTCAAAGCAAGCTGTATTTGAAGATGAGCAAGTCTCCAATTCCATCTCCCACTAAGCAAGACAAAAAGTTACAAAATTTCTGGCTTCAGGGTACAAATCAAACAGCAGGGCAAAGGGAAAACTCTTGTGTGCAAGCTGTATCACACCACTGACACCTCGTGCCTTCACCTAAAACAAGAGGCAATAGGTACTTTTGGTGGCAAGCAAGCAGAACTGCTGAGCAGCTGGTCTGCTCTACAGGAACAAATACTCCCTTGCACGTATAAGCCAGTTAAGATCCAGGGTTTCTTTCCTGCTAGCTTACATGTGTTTCCATTAGGTGCTTTTTCCATTTTGCAGGGGCATAACCTTCAAGTGACCTTTAGAAGCAAAGGAATTAAAAAATAAGTAGTGTGCAGCACTAAAAGAAAATAAACATGACTCAGAAGCATGAGAAACACCTTCAAGCAATGGGGATGATGCCAACCCTTTTGATAGAAAAATGCTTCTTCAACAAAGCTCTCCATCTGGTCTCTGCGTCGGGGCCAAAGCCAGCGGGCTGTAAGGCAAACTTTGCAGGTAATCTGGGAGATGAAGCAGGCTCAAAGCGTGCATTTTTCAAAATGACATTGCCAGGGCCTTGGGCGACCTGGATGAGATAGCACTGATGGGATATCCTCCACCAAGCCAGGGCTCTTAGAAAAAGAGGTGCACTCTCAACGTGTGGCTTTAGTCGGCACCAAAATGCAATCATCTCTGGGGTGTGAACAGCTGCTGTGCTGTCAGGGCACTTTACCACCCGGAGTCATTTAGGACAGATGGGTGGTATGACAGACGTAGCTGCTGTACTGGATCTCCTACCTCCAACTCATGGTTGTTATGGGCAATTAATTCCTTCTTAAATAATGCAGACATGAGCAGTGGAGTCTACCGAACCATATCAAAGCCCACAGAAAAACTCCTGGTAGGATGAACGGATTTCAGTCCCCACATTCCAGTTCTGCCACATTCTTTCACACACAGCCCATAAGCAAGCTGAAACTCTTTGGCACAGTTGGTATCTCCACTATGCACGACTGGGAAGGACCAGGGTTGATTTTTAAAAAAATTAAAAGCCTTCATTGGCAAATATTCCACATGAGGAGATGGTGCACGCAGTACCCCAAACTTCACAGACTCACTGGTATTTTTGAAGGATACATTTTGGTAGGACCCAGAAGTTGTCACAGTGTGACCGGTCCCTTACTACAAACTGGGAAGGGAAATGGATTTATTCAGCCACCATCAACAGGACCTTCCTCCTACCTGCTTCACACCACGCTCCCAATGACTAGGTGTCTGTGGGGAGTATTTTCCATCTCAAGGGGCTATTTAAACTGCTCTGAAAACATCACAAATGCTCTCTGGTCACAACCACAGAGGTTATGTTGATCTGCCATGTGCTGCCTGGGAGATATGATCAGAGGTGTAGCAATCGAGAGACAAACTAGCTTCCCAGAGCAGGTGTGATGGCGTCATGGAAAAAGCCTGTTCAAAAAATGCACCTCTGGAGCCACGGAAGCGATTCCTGGGTCTCTCCCTCAACGTGTGCTCCTTCGCTCCCTCCCTTGCTGGCATATGGAAGGAGTTACGCAAGCTGACAACAGCTGCCTCACTGCTCACCGTCTGAAGCAACAGTTTGGGTTTCAAATGGTATTGAGTTTGCTGAATCCTTTAATTTTCCTGTTTCTGTTCTAGGTTAGGCTCGCGGTAAATAGCCTAGCACTTTACAAACAACAGTCAGGCATATATCACCAAGTTGCAATATGTTTTGAGCTTTTCAGTGTCAACAGGTGCCCAAGTCTTTGCCAACTGCAGCACAGCCACAACTCCTACTGAGTCCTATGGCGTAAAACAATGCAGCATTGCCTCCCTGCCTCCAAAACGATCATATCTTGTTCATCTGTAGCTCTCCACATGATACAAGAATATTTTACAAAGGCCAAACCCCTGAAACAGCTCAGTGAGGAAGGACCTGCCATTACCCATGCACAGCCCGTAGTTGTGCTTGGCTAGCGACACGCAGGAACAGAGTCAGTGTCACATCTGTCAACCTGCTGTTCCAAAGCTATGCAATACACGTCGGTCATTTCTTTGACAAATCCCAGTTGTGTTTCTTAGGCTCTGTCTTCCAGTTTGCTATTAAAACAGAGCCTGGAAACAGCCTCTTTGGTCATTTTTCTACCCCAGTGGCATGAGAGCCTCCATTCTGAAACATCCCAGAAACGCGTCAGCGCCCTGCAATAATTTCACAAGGACTCATCCCTCCCTTGCTGAGCTGCAAATCCCTGCTAAACACTGTACCTATGTATTTGAAGAGCGTACTGCTGATTCCTGCCAGCAGGGAAAGGGTTATCAAGTCTCCAAGGCTCGCTGCTATGGGTGTGGCGACATTGTCTGGATTGATCCCAACTTTCCTTGCTCCGATGATCACGCCAATCATCACCAGACCTAGAGAAGACACAGAGCAGGCATCAGAGAATGCATCCTGCTGCGTTTCACCCCAGAGCTGCTCTTCTGCTTCCCAGGGGGCCGTGGGGTCTGGGAAAAGCAAGAAGCAGATTGCCCGCAGTGGTACCACACAGCTGGAGACTGGACATCCCCAGGAATTTGTCCTCTTGCTTTCACCAACCCGAAGGGCATGACTTTGCCCTTATGAACTGCACTAAAGGCCCAGAGCCACACAAGCAAATTCCAGGGATCAAAGGAGATACCAGCGGGCAGCCCAAATTTAGAAGCTCCCCTCCTGAGCAGCCTAATCTTTGCTGCCTCGAAGCAGGACCAGGCACGAAGCACACTCATAGATAAGCACACAGCAGGCATGTGGCAGCCTCCTGGTGCCATCCCCTGCTCTGGATTCCACAGCTCAAAGGTATTTTCCATATTAGACCAAAATTTCTCTGAGTTTGTACCACCAAAGAGCAACGAGCTTTCTTACAGTAGCCTGGGTGAGCCTTTCAGCCTGGCCGTCAGACTGACTCCTCACGTTCCAGGGTCTTTGGGGATGCTTTAATTTGCACTGGGTGGATGTTGATGCCATGAGCAGCTCCAGAGTCAAGAGGTTATGGAGATGGCACACATCACCTCTCCTCCCCTCTGCTCTGAGCTGCACCTGGAGAATTCATCTGTTTTTCAGGATGGCTGCAGAGGAGGGAAGTTTTGCTTGCCCAAGTAAGTTAATAAGCACAAACCCCAAACCCTGATGAACATGTGGGAATCCCTCAGCCATGTGGAAGAACCACCTGGAATAAATCCTGCCTTGCCAGCCTCCGCTGCTGTGTGCACGGCAAGGGCAGCCTTGGGATGAGACACAGGACATCTCTTCAAAGTCCTTCCGTGGCTGACAGGATGCACCAAAGACAGCCCGGGAAACAGCAGTTCCCTGCAGCTCACAGCCCCTCGTTCCCCTGGGAATGCCACATGTGCCCCTTTCCCTGTCACAACATCCCTTGTACAGAAATACATCCTCACACAACATGGCATTCTCCCCAGAAGCCCTCCTGGACACCCACGCTCCCCTCCCCACAGCACAGTTCATGCTGCTGCCCTTCCTGGCCATCAAACAGCCGCTTCCCCTCCTGCACACCCACACACGGGCCACCTGAGACCACGGCCAGGGAACAGGCTAATGCCAGCTGAAAGGCTGCTGGTACAGCAGCAAAGCCTCTCTGTATCGCGCTGAGCAGGGAGACTGAAGGGAAGAGTTTAAAGAAAGCTGGGCTGCTGCTTTTCTCTTTTAACAACTGCTTTATCCCATGTTTTTCATCAAAGGCATCTGCAATCACCCCCAGACTCCAGCTTGAGGATATGCACTTGCTCTGACTTGTCCTTTTCCCTTGGAAAACTTGCTGTATCCAACCTGCCAGCTCCCTCTCTCTATTCAGGGTATCATGCTGCCCTCCTATGGCAGACCTACAAACTGAGCACCTTTAGGTGACACAGAGCAGCTCCTCCTTGTCCACCCCATCACGTCGCCCTTGCAAGGGGAACAGCCAGGGGAGGGGACAGCCTGGCTCCGAGCTCACAGCAGACGAGCCACCGGGCTGGCCACAGCCCTCTGCAGGGTACTGGGGGACCCGTGTCCATCTCGAGCGTGGTCTGGAGTTGTCTGCTGACAGACATCCTGCTGTGTGCAGGGCATTAGTTCATCCCCCCCTAGGAAAGGGCCAGTGTAGATGGCTCAAGTGTCCCACAAGGCACACAGAGAAAGTGCGTGCAGGTGTGTGGACACCCACGCATGGCATGTGGCATTTTTCATGTGTCAGGTGAAGTGGAACATTTTGATTGCTGCTGTGGAGGCTGAGATCCCAGCGATGAACAGATCCGGGGAGAAGAGAAGCAAAGGCAGGATGCAGAGGGGATGAAAGCAGCAGACATAGGACTAATGGTCCCTGCATCCCTCCTCCCTGTGCCACACCGAAGGGATGTCAGCTGGGCTTCCCTGGCAGAAGGGACAGTTTTTTCCACACCTGAGTGCAGCATGTTCGATCTAAGCACCCAAAAGGACTCACCGAGAGAAAGGGCAGCTATGAAGGCTGTGGTCACGCTGCTGGCACACAGCACGGCAGCCTGGCTCAGCTCCACAGAGCCCTTGGAGATGGCTCCCAGGATCACAGCAGCAACGGCAGCCAGAAGTCCCACCACGGTGGCCTGGACCTGGGGGCCAAAAGACAGCTGGTGAGCAACCATCTGCATCTGCTCCAGGCAGTGCTGGCTCCACGCGGCCACAGCATTGCCACCCAGCTGGGAGGGCAAAGCCTTGCAGAGATGCTGATTGCTTCTGTATTTAAGCAGCATCCCTGTAAGGCTCCACTATGTTAAAAAAAAAAAATCCTGACAAAGTTTGGAGAAAACCTCTGGAGGCCTGCAAAGGGCAGATAACATTTTAGCAAAGGATGCTGAGTCCATCAGCAAAGGAATAGCCCTGGTCAGTACAAAAAGGGGCTCCCCATCAACACAGCCCTCCTAGCAAGCTGAAAGCTGTGGAAGGCGATAAGGGAAAGCACACAGACACACGTCGCAAGCCCTGTGGCCCTGCCATCTGCAACCTCTAGGCTGGGTGCTGGATTTTAACAAGCAGAAAGAGCTACAAGAGGCACATTTCTCCCACCTCTCCCCTCCTGCCCAAGGCTAATCCCAAACACTGCCAGTAAACAACAGGCTTTATCTAGGGGCTGTTGTGAAACAGGGATTGTGCCGCAGTTCCCTCTGCAAAGCCAGGGTTTTTCATTATTTCAGCTTGTCCACAAAGGCAATGAAGGTCTAGATGTGTTTTGCAGCTAAACTGCAAGCTCTGGGGCCACACAGAGCTTTATTGGAGGTCAAGTCCTGGGCTCTGCTCGGCTCTGTTGAGAACACATTCCCCAAATCAAAAGCTCGGGATCCAGTATTGCTGGGAACCGATGCTGTCGGGCTGCTGCACAGCACGAGAAAAGAGCCTTTTCCCTCTCCCAGCTGAAGTGACTCACCTGGATAAGGGCTAAATTGCAGGTGGCCATTTTCCATTGCTTCTGGGCATCATCCATCTGTCCGGTGTTAGCCTAGGAGCCAAGAGAGACACCCTGAAAACCTGTTGCTGTGGCACAGGCAGTTGCTGAAGGTGGTTTCACCTGGTCCCTGTGGGAAAGGGGTTACTAAAGCCAGCGAGAAGCGAGCACAGGTCAGCATCTCCCAGCCTTCCCTGTCCTTCATTCTTGACACATCTCCACCATGCTCCAACCCCGTGTCCCAGGAGCACCCGAGGCTCACACGGAGGTGCAGAGGCATTGCAGGGCACCCAGCTACAGGTGGAGTGGGCACAACCACCACATCCCGCACAAACCAAAAGCTGAACAAATTAAACCATTTTTCCTCTTTTGTTCCCCTAAATAGCTCTGTTAAACTCCAATTTCTCCCAAGAAATGCAATACAAACAGGCCAAAGTAAAAATAACTTCTTAGGGAGATAGGAGAGAGCAAATCCAGAGCAGCAAAAGCTACTGCGGGTCCCAAGAAGCCTCAGTCTGCTCGCTGGGAAGCCCTGGGTCTCTCAAGGATCAATACCCACAGAAAAACGATCCAACACTGAAGCTGACAGCTGTGGAGCCCTGGCTTTGTCTCCTTCATGTGTCACAGGGCCCCAAATCTCAGCCACTGGCCACCCAGGGATTAATTCACCTTCAAAGTGCAGATGGAAAGTCTCTGTTCCAGTTACAAAACGAGGGCAAACACATTATTTTAACACTCGCACACCACTAGCTTCTACTTAGCAGAAAAGGGCCCGTCTCATACATGCATGGTTATATAAAAGCAGAGTCTGCTGATGTCTCCTGCTAACCCCCACCCTCCCCACACACACCATCACCCTGTTCACTCACAGCAGTGGAGAGCCTGGATGCCAGCGTCATCTCAAGATTACCCTTCAGGCCAACCAAGGCAGGAACCAGGATAAAAACTTCTGTAATTGTCCGAAACACATCCCAGTGCTGGAAGAAAACAAAAGCAACAACCTCAGTTTGTGATGCTGAGCGGTCCAACGCTGTCGCTTCGAAGGGGAGCAGGGTCCTACCTCGGCACCTGCTCTACCGGTGTCTGCCGTGCCCATGGGGACAAATGCTGCCCTGGGATGGCTGCATTTGGGGAGTGAAGGGATTTTTTAGGTTGCAATATGCTTTCTGAGCTCATTCACAGCAAAGCCCTATCCTAACAGAGAAGGAACCTTCCTCCTAAGGGCAGCAGAAGATTTTGGAAAGCCACAAATTAAAATGTGCCTTTAGTATTAGCCAAGAACAACATGAAAAATAACGAGGGTTCCCAAGCCAAACGAAACAGAGCATGCTCGCCATCCTTTGTACTGACACTCGATACAGGAACGCCTTTTGCTATCAGACTCTAAGAACAAACGCAAAGAGCTGGAAACAATCTAACAACAAAAAGCTGTGTCTGTCTTTTTTTACCAAACTTCTAACTAAGCATCTAAGACTGGTGGTGGGAGGGAAGGAGATTTTTGTGTCTCTTCTCCACAGGCAGTTCCTAAATCTTCCTGTTACCAAGCATGCTCCCAGTACAGCTGGAAAAAAAAAAGACTCTGAATTAAGATATCCCATAAACCTGAACTGCTGGGCCAATATCTTGATTATCATTGCTCCTCTAAAGCTAAACTGTACAAAGCTGTTTAATCAGCTGCCAACACTAGAAATTATCTGAAACCCTACGAAACTTTGTTGATTAACACATCTTCTCTAATTTATCTACCACACAGATCCTTGGATCACAATTCATTCACCCCCTGTGCATTCAAGGATGTTGGCAAAGTCCCACTGTAGCCAGAGAGTCTCCCATCCTGATGAAAACACAGAACGGAGCAGCTCACCGTGAAGTAAAACCAACTAGCTCTACATTTAAGAGCAGAATACAAGAAAAAAAGAGCAGCTGCAATGAGTCAGACCAAAGGTCCATCTAACCTACGCTCATCTCCACCAGCAATCAAATTCAGGCGTATAAAACAAGAATCTACAACAAGTAGATGGAATAATCTCCTGTGTATTTTCCAGCCTACGACTACCTGCCACAGGGTACTGAGCTGCACACTTACCAGCACTCCAAGGATTTCTCTTTCAGGTATTCATCTAATCTCCCCCCTTCAAACCCCTGTGCCATCCTGCGGCAAAAATTTCCATAGTTTAGCTACATGCCACGTGTTCATTAATTCTAACTTGTTACTGGCTAGTATCATACAACGGTTCCGAATTCTGTCTCTAGAGGACAAAATGAACAACAGATCCCTGCCCATCTTCTCCACATCCATTGGGATTCTATCAACCTGAAAATCCAGGAGGTCGGACAGACTCGGTAAATGTCGACACATTCATCTGTCAGCCTGTTGGGAAATAAACACAGGGTGTACCAGCTCGGTGTTCTGCTCTGGCTGGGCCATGGGAGGCTGTGGGAAGGCAGCGGTGTGGCTGTCTTACTGGGAAGACCTCACAGCTTCCTTCTGAGTCAGGATGAATGAAACCGGCGCTGAGCCAGCCCTCAGCACACGGCGCGAGACACCCCTCAGAGGCGCTGATAACAGACAAAACCGTTACTATCAATAGAAAAAGGCACATTTCCTGGCAGGGGTGACCTGGAAACAGGCCCATTTCAAAATGTTAAATGTAAGCTACTGTTGAGTAAATAACGGACGACACGAGAAGAGTCACCTTATTTGACACACGACAATCTTGTTTGAATTTGTGAACATGGAACTTAAATACCTGAGAAAAGCTAGGGGTGTACATCTCTTAAAGACTCAAATCCCTCTCTCTCCTCTCTCTTTAATTAAGAATAAAGATCCAAACACCTCTTTGACACCTTCAAAAGAAAGAGGAGACAAAACAGACTTCATAGTCACAATGTGAAAAAAACCCAATCACTTAAAATACACAGGCGCGCAGACATTCATACTTAGTACCTTGCACATTTTGTACATAAAAAGACATAGAAATAAAAAACAACAGAAAAACTCAACTGTTTGGTTTTTTCTGTGCAGGTCACCTTTGGGAAATGTGACTTTGTTACATCAACGCAAGCTCCAATCTTTGTGATGAATGAATTTTGCAGGTCTCAAGCCATCATAACAGAAGTTTCAGGATGGGAGGTATGATTTTTTGGGACTCTGCCTTACATATAATTACACTGAAAGGCTTTGAACGATTAATAAAGAATCACACAACTGTACTAATAAAAAAACCTGACTTAATTGCCTCCATTTGAGTATCATTAGTGACTCACTGAGAGCCCGAGGACAGATTCATAACGATTTGTACCACAGTAGCCAGGACTCCACCGGGTTAGGGACTACAGAAATACAGAACAAACAGCTGATCCCTGTGCCATCGCCTTGCAGGACTGTCAGCTGGAGGGGCAGGGGAACGTGGCAGGTTAGAGGTGTGAAGGCAAAGGAGCTGCCTGAATAAAGACAGCTGGATTAAGTCTAGGAAGCATCTCTGTCCTTTGAGATGAAAACTGTCCTAGAAGGAACAGAAACATCCTGCACTGCAACACTGCAAACCCACACGGGGACACTGAATCAGAAAGAGACTCTTTTGGAGTTACAGCCCTACGGCTCGGCTCTGGTTACCCCACGATCCACTGCAGCTGGTCCTCATGCCAGACGAACCTGCTCATGGGGTCCCATAGAGGAAGAGAGGCTGGGATGCATGCACCAAGACAGTCTCCCCAGCTGCAGTCTAGCCCCGCTGTCCCTCCTTACACTGTCTGCACAGCCCCAAGCATGTCCTGTTACCTCTCCAGAGCATCCATCCTCCTCCATGGCAGCAGCTAAGAAACCTCAGAGGTTCTCCATTGCCCTGAACTAGTCAACAGAAAGATCAAAAGATCCTGGACTATAAAACACAAGCCAATTTAAAATCCTTTCCAATGCTAATCATCTCATGGGCTTTTATCAACAAAGGACAGGGATGCCTTTTGTCTGTGACTTTCATTTGGACTGCGTCCTACCGCAGCGGTGTGGAAGGCGAGAAAGAAAGTGAAGCTTTCCTCCTGAATTCTCTAGTTTGAAATCTGCTTGTCCAGCTTCAATTTGATTCTTTACCTTGCTGTAAAAGAGAGGGCCAAACACTGGCCAGGCCCTGCAAGGTCTCCAGCCACGCCAGCCACCCTGGAATCCAGACGGACCAGCCAGCCAAGGATCACTGGAGCAGAGACAGAAATGTCCAGCAAGAAAAGACCCTTGCCATGCTGCCAGCCCTGCACGGAGGGAGACTGCATCGTCACACCACCAAGAAGAGAACATGGCAAATAGCCAAATTTCTTTGGGCATCCTTTTACTACAGTATGAGACACCCAAGTGTGAGCCTTGGAGTCAACTGGGCTAGACAAATATCTCTTGTTGATTTTTTTAATTTTTTATTTTTAACAGTTACATGAAGTTTTCGGTTTCCCCCCAGGACAGATCAGAAACTGCTAAAATCCCAAAACGTTTCACAGGACACAAACAAGCAATTTCCATTTTGTTCTCTTTACAACAACATCACCCCTGCAAATGAGAGTGCCAGCTGGACTCCCAGCACAGAACCACATTATTTCAAGATATTTTGCGTGTAACAAAACAAGGGCAGCACCAAACTCACACGTATGCTCTAGAGACCATCCTTGAGCTTGCCCATAGATCTCCCTGTCAAAGGCAAACACGGAGTTTCCTACAAATGATTCTCTGAATATTTTGCAGTGACTGCAAACAGGGCAAAGTGTTCCTCAGTCAGACCATCCTCTAAAAAATGGGAAAATCACAGACGCCTGGACTAGAAAAACCATGAGTTTCAGCAGTGTGAGCCCTCATGATTACCAATAATGAGTCCTATGGTACCTATCCTCAAGCAAAGAAACTTAGTCTCAGGTTTTAGTTGGGCAGGACAGTGAATTTCTAGCTCTCATGCTTGCAGGAAAAAAAGCTGGAAATAAGCAGCTCAAAGACATAAAGGCAGAGAATAATAATCCAAACCTTTAAAGGCTAAAATCTCTGGATTTTCCCAGCTACTGGTTTCTGTTTTAAATGTGGGGTTGCTGATATCACGGCCACTTACCTCACTGCCATCTCTCCTACACCAGCTGTGACTCTCAGTGCACTAGCTCCCTCCTCTGGGAGCTGAACCCCCTGACTGATGGCTTCTATTTCAACACAGCTGGAAACACCTTCACTAAAAAATACACTATTATTGCGCTTAACGCGTGACCCCATTTCTGAGATTCTAGTGAACAAATACACAGAGCAGACTGGTATTTGAAGGACACACGTAGGCATACATTGCTTGTGTTTTCCATCAGTTTGGACACAGTTACATTTCTGAACAGAGCCCAGTTCTTAGCAAGTCCATTTGATTTCTCTTAGAAAAAGCCCTATTCACCTGCCAAGGGAACGGAGTGGGTATGTGCTGTGCCTTTATCCTTCTCTGAGACGCCTGGCCAAAGATAACTGCTAAATATTAACATAACATCTTGGGTAGTTTGAGAACTTCTGAAATGCTGCAAGACAGGTCTGTGCCTAAGCACAGCACAAGGTGGAGACGACAAACACAGCACAGCAATAGCGTGTGCCACTCCAGTTAACCCTTCTTTGCTATTCCTCGTATTCCTTTTAATCCAACTTCTCTGCCTTCTTTGTTTCTTCCAATGCAAAACAAAACAGCAAGGTATTGTCTTTCCAAACACTCAAGTATCCATATTTAGCTCCTGCTGTGGTACTAATGCCAGAGAAGCCAATGTACCCCAGTGAGCTCAGAGTGCAGGATATATCCCTGGGAAACTCTGCCAGCCTTTCATTTGTAAATCCACTGGCATGAGATGCCCAAAGTAGATCGAATTTTGCATTTCTATTTTTGCCACTCGTACAAAGGAAAGACAGAAGGGATAAATTCTGGTTGTGGGCGCTGTGGTGTAAATCTAGCCCCACTCTTTGGAAGTCAATGGATGTTATTTCAAATTTACACCCACCTCAGAATCTGGCCAAGAAGCACTCAGTTTGTAGGTGATGCTAATCTTTTTACGCTGGCATGCCTCTCATCACAGGATCTAAATGCCTTCTAGACCAAAGATTACATTCGGTTGTTTGCAAAGAACCGAAAGCACCAACTTGCCTCTAAGTGAGCCAGGTAGTTCGTAACAACCCTGACCTAGATCTCCTTATCAGAGATTTTTGAAGGAAAGAAATAATACCATGCAATAGGGGAATATGCCAGAGTCTGATCCCCGTTGCTTCACAGCATCCACCACTACAGCATTCAGCTAGATACAGCAAAGGCAGCACCCAGGGCAGCGTCAGGCAGCCCATCGCACTTTAGAAGGAGCCCATCTACTGACCTAAAGAAGATGGACAGTGTCTCTCTAGCACAGGAAAAGCCTACAGACAACCTGCTGACTGGCTGCTAGGACGGCACACATTGAAAACAAAACCGCACAAACACTCAAGGTCAGTAAAGCAGCCCACCCCCTCACGACCAAGTCACCTAACCACATGTACCTACTTGCACAGCATCCATCAAGAGGCCAGCAGCTACTGTGCCCAAACCAGCCAGAAGGAACGGCACAAAGATCTGGGAGGCAATGGAGAACGAAGTCTCTGGGAGAAATCCACTGGCTGACCTGGTCAACTTGCAGGTGAAACCTCTCAGCTTCTTGCCATGGAAGCACAGTTCCAACTGTAACTGGGTGACCACCATGGTCAAACACCGTCACCCCATGCTCAGCAGGGCAAATGGGGGGAGATCAGGACATCCCACAGATCCTCCTGGTAGCTCTCTCTGAAATCAAAGAAATGTTTTTCCTCAAACTATAGTAATGATGCCAAACTGCTTCAGCTTCTTCTTCTCCTCCTAGGAGGACGTCCAGAGGGTTGCAGCAAGGGTATCCTCCAAAGTTGATTCAGCTGGGTTGAGCCCAGGTGGCAACAAACTTGACAAACACTACTTCTCCAAGTTATATCAAGGGGGGAATTAAAAAAGAGAAGAGAAGATTGTGGAGATGTCCGTGGATGAACAGAAACGAGCCCACACCCCATTCAGCTCCCACCAACCTTGGTAAAAACCAGTAAGACCTGCTCGGGCTACAGCACTGAAAGAGTAACAGGTCATGCAAGAATCCCTCAGCATGCTCAAACGCACTAGTGTCCTTTCTCCTCAGGTTACACTTCTTGTCAGACCGCGGCTCGCCTTTGATACGATGGTTTAATATGTAAGCCTGCTGTGAACCGGCCCCGCTTCCCTCACTCCCACCAGAAGCAACGTTGAACTTTTCTCACTGTCCCAAGGCCGAGGAGGTGGGGAGTTAACAACTAGGATCCGCTTTGCTCTCCTTCAAGGTGAAGAAAGGTCAAGGAAAACATGAGTCCGTGTTTCTCATTGCTGACGATATTACGCAGGTCTCGTCCCCAGGCAAGCGACACAGCTAAGCCGGCTGGTGAGAGATCTGCCCTTCTAGACCCCAGCCCCTCTTGGCCCCTCCATGGTCTCCGCAGGATGTAATGATCGGTCTATGCCAGCTACACCCCTGAATGACTGGCTTTCAGGGAGAAGAAAAAAAAAAAAATAATGCAGAGAACCAGCCAATAAGCTTCAAAAGCGAACACCCTTATCTGCTGTCATCACTTCAACTTTCTGCTAGTTTGCAAAGGCCAAGATAAGAGTCACAGCCAGAGCTTATTTAAGGTAGCTCTGTAATTTCCCTCCACCGCAGGCGAGGCAGAGAAAGGGTGAATGTTTCCACGGCACCCTACGAGCTGCTCTCCCTTCCTGTCCTGCAGCACAACACAGCTGCTGCACGCTCCCAGGAAGGTACTGCCCTCGAGAGAGGGGGTCTCACGCCAGTCTCCGTGGTCAAACATCCAACACAAGCTACACCATGGCCACACACAGCTGAAGAGTTTGTATCCTGCTCAGTCAAGAGTGAAGCGTATCCTTCAGCTGAAAGTCACGCGTGCAGTCAGGGTATTCTGTTGGGGCTCTTTCTAATAATTAATTTGGGCAAACTAATTAGATCAGAGGATCAAAAAAGCTTTAAAAGCACAATTTAGGATGAAAGGGTACAGGACGGGTTTAGTACGTCGGCAACTAAGCTTTTGGACTATTCCCCCACAGGTTCAAACCCAGCCGTGCCCCACTGAAGGCAAACAGGTGAAAGCAAGTATTCAGCATCAGGCATGAAAGATTCTGGTTTCTCAGTCTAGTTCAATGTTTAAATTACATCGCCTTGCTAACACTTTTTGTACTGATCAACCCCTTCCCTGACCCTCTCTGCAGAGCGATGTAAAGATTAACAGCTATGGGACTCCGTCCTGGTGACAGGGTCCCAGCGTGGAGCTAAATGCACTGGACAGAACAAGATGAGCAGAGAGCTGAGGAGGTCCTGGATGGTGTGTTTCCTTTGGTCTGAACTCATGCAAACCAAAGCACAAAGCCTGATGGGCTGAGATGGCAGAGCAGATCCCTCTGCACGCACGGCCGGGTGGAAAATGAGCCCTAGCTGCTGATGGGAGGCTCTGCCCTTTGCTGCTTTCTAGGCTGGTATTTCTGTACAGTCCCCAAAGCCTCCTCTGCTCCCGGCTGGCTTGGTGTGCGTGTTTCTTCCACCTAACAATGGTTCGGTTAGCTGAAAGCTAACAAGGGAGTACATTTCAGCTAATCTAACTGGGAAAAAAAAAAAGCCAACAATAGCTGGAAGAGGGAAGCTAATAAAAATCCTGTAATAATCATGCCTGACCCAATCTCTTTCCACCTGCCAGGAGCTGAGGAGTGACAGCATGAAGGCTCAGTTCTGGTTAGAAACTCATCGAGGGTTCAAGAAAATACAGGACAGTTTCTGGATAACTACCACAGATTTTCAAAGGTCTGATAATGCACATACCTAGTTCTACATGTCATTGTATCTGCCAACTGGCTTGCTGACAGGCAGAAACATTAATGTAAAGGAAATATTAATAAGCCTGAATGACTCAAATGCCATTAAAAAACACAGCAGCAACACATCCTGTACCAAAGCGTCAGCCTGGCAGGGTTTATGAGTTTATCACGCTTCGGCTCCCTCTGTTTCTAAGCAAGCATCATAAAAAGCCTTCAAGCGATGAATCAGTATGCAGAGAAGGTAATTGGGCCAGGTGACCTGTGTGTGTACACCGGGCCATTTTATTACACATTTAAGGAGCCTCTGATAAAGATCTGCACCACATTTCGCAGCAAAGAGATGCATCATACTTTCCTGGCAAAGAGATATGCCATATTTGTCTGCAAAGAGATGCATCAGGTTTCAGAAGAAAGAGAACGTTGTTGAACAACAGGAAAAAGATCATAGGCAGTTGGGGAAAAAAAAAAATAATAAAGCACATCATGGCAAAACCTGGGAAGGTGCACTGCTGCCCTTGCCTGTACAGAAAACAAACCATATCCCTGTTGCTTGCAAACTGGCCAACAGGTAGCATTGCCCTGGAGAAACCAAAGCAGAAACAGTCTCTTAGCTGAGGGCTAAGGGTGATCTAGGGCCTCCATCCACTGCCACAGAACAAAAAAAGAACAGAAAGATGACAAATGCCAAAGAACTCCATTTCAGAGGTACCTGATCGTCCCTGCAAAGAAGGGACAGAGATACCAGTGAGTGCTCCTACAACACGGCAGCGTTAGCGACAGCCAGCCTTACTCTGGCACCTCAGACCCACGGGAGGATAATGCTTTTTGGGGACCATATGTCCCAGTTGTCAGAGTACTGTCACTCCTGACTCTGCCAGCTCTCTGTCAGATCACTCTGTGCGTTTTTGCTGTTTCTTACCTTGCTCCTCTCCTCCCCACTTTAGGAAAGGGCAGGGAAGAGAGCTTATGAGGAGAGACTGAGAGCAAGCAGGTGCAGAGTGCCTGGAGCCCAAAGCCTGGCAGCATCTCCTGTTGCCCCACAGAAACAGCAGCAGAGGCCAGGACTGGCTTAGAGAGGAAGGGCAGTTCCCAGGAGCAGCGAGTCCATGATGAGACGAGCTCAAGCAGTCCGTGATCACACATGAAAAGTCACTGCGCTAATTGCCAAAGGTCTGCTTTTCCTACGAGGTGTTGCATGGGTTGATTTCCCAGGCTGTAAGCACTAATACAAAAGCTCTTTGTGAGCTATCCATTTGCATTAAGCAGAAACCAGACTTTTGAAGTTTCAGAAGACTATGAGGTTTGCTTCACATTCTGTTTATATTAGTGGCCCAGTCATTCCTAGAAAAAAAAATACTCTAAGGGAAAAACATTGAAAGAAAAGCATTCCTCCAATATCATAAACCCATCTGCAACCTACTTCATGTTTTAGTATCTCACCATAGCAGGTAACAGGCATTTAATGTCAGAGATCCATAGGAATGTGCAGGTCTGAACAGTCTGAAAAATAAAAATTAAAGTGGCTGCTCAAGGCTCAAGACTCTCAGAATGATGTCTAAGGAGACCAAAAGCAGTTTGCCAATGGGTTCTGGATTCTTCTCGGTGTCTTCTGATCTGCCTAGACATTCTGCTGGGTATGGAGTACATGCTAAGGTCAGTTAAGGACAGTGTCACTCTTAAGCCTTTATGGCTCTTCTAGATTAGGGAGATCAGCCCAGGGCTAATAGCAAAAGAACAAAGCTCCAGATTTGTGAAGGCGGTCAGTGCGAGCACAGCAGTTTCAGTGTCACTGTATCAAATAGGTCAGAGCAGTCTGACCCAACAGCCAGCTAGTCAAAGAACAAGGGTTAACAAAAAGGCACACAGCAGCGAGGGTCACCTGGGGTGCAAAGGCAGAGGAATTTATCATCTGGAAACTAACTGCAGCTTTGAACAGTCTAAAATTCAGCGCTCACCACTACCTTAAAGCTCTGTATTGCTGCACTGCAGAAGGAAAGCTTTGGTCCTGACCACCACAGAATCAGAAATTGGACTTGAAGAACACTCAAGGATTTGAGTCATCTGCTACAAGGCCTCAGAAAAGGATGCGGTGCGCAGGCGGGGCTGGGCTGTGTCAGGTGCTAACAGCGCTGGGCTGGCTAGCTCCGTGTGCAGTGAAGTAGCGGATGCAGGACTTGCCAGAGTTGTATCTACTGCAGGAAAGCACCGTGCCATCACAGCCCTCGGGGCTGCAGCTCAGCTACCCTCTTCCCACGACCAAGGTGAATCTTTGCACAAGACCGCACCTTCGTACAGAGATGCCTTAGCTCCTTCGTGTGCTCTGTAGCACCACATCGCCTTTTATCTACAAAGTAGAAAAACGGCCAGAAAACCACCACGCATTGTCTCCCGAGAGCTGACTTTGAAAAACATACTGGCATGTGAAACTGCTCCAAATCCTCCTTTACTTTGCTATCCCCAGAGCAAATCCCCCACCTATCCCACTCCGGATACATCACAGCAGTTTCTTTCCTTACCTGAACGTAATCCAAAACCATGCCTGCCAAGACCATGCCAAGCCCAGCCAGGAGGTATGGCAGGAGCACTTGCAGGCAAATCGCGATGGCTGACTCTTCCCGCGACTTTGCCATGGCCACTTTGTCCTCAGCCAACAGCTTCTGCTGTGCAGCCAGAGAGACATCCTCTGCCTCCTGGCTGCCAAGCCGGCTCTCTCTGTGTTTACCCTTGCTCTTTGCTTTGTGCCTGGATCGCTCTCCATTCCTGGTCCTGCCTTCTTTTTTCCTCTGCCGAACTTCCTCACCTTTCATGATGGCTTTCTTGAATCACAAAGTTTTTCTGAAAAAGTCAGAAACAATGAGATAACAAATTGAGGCATGAGATGGGTCAGAGACAGGAAACCCTTTGGTATTTTGTCCACTCCACTAACTTGAAGGCAAACCACCACCTACTCCCAAAACTTTAGATGCCCTAGTAACCCAAATAATAGTACTTCATTTACCTTCAGCTTTGTATAGTGTCAAATTGATCTCTCTCTCTCTCTAACTGCATCTCTCTTCCCAGGCCTATGCTCACACTGGAGTGCTTGCTGTGCATCCCGCCTCTCACCCTGGGAATGCCTTGGAAGGACGCAGAGGATGCTGCACGCAGCCTGAATTCAGGACTCACCAGCTCTCGCA